AGCCAAAATTCGGTTGAAACAGATTAATATTCAGGGAGCTAGAAAACATACTTCCTTGCAACCTACCAAAACGATGGAAGGGGGAGTTACTGTTCGGGTGGATGGAGCCTATTCTCACTTTAATGGCCGAGCAGGTTGTGAAGGAACAATTAAAGTGAATGGAGATACTGTTCTTGAAGCGTTTATGCTGTCTCTCAATGAAGGAGATCCCTTAATTGCAGAATTATGGGCGTGTTTGATCGGGCTCAAACGAACTTGGGAAGGGGGACACAGAAGAGTCTGTCTTTTTAGTGACTCATTGGAGACAATACATCTGCTACAGGAGGGAGATAATGAACTTCATGAGAATTGGGCTTTGATTAAAGAATGCAGCAGCATGATCCAAAAGGAAATGGCTTGTGGAACTCTGCCATATAGGAAGAGAAGAAAATCTTGAAGCAGATGCACTAGCTAAGCGAGCTCTATCCTTGCCACCAGGACTGCATCTTACTCATCTTGAGGACTCCTCTGATATTGTTTCTCGTCATTTAGCTTAGTTTCTTTGTTTTCTCCTCTTATTAAAAAAAAGAAAAAGAAAAGTAGTTTTTGTTCGATTAATATTGTCCCAAAAATGTTTTAAAATGTGCAATGTTACTTGTGTATTAAGATCAATGTTAATTTTTTAATAGTTATGACGATTTTACTCTTTTTTAACATTTATGGGGTGATATTAAGCCAATAAAAATTTCAGAATATCCTATGTGTAAACTTCTAAGGTAAAATTGGACCTTAAGTCCTTAACCCTTAGTTTTTTAACATTTGTTTTTAATAATAATAGTAATAATGATTGTAATTAATCGTATCTTGTTTTATTAAGAAGCACAACCACAATAATGGGCACGTTAATGCTAAAATAATGCCATAATTTTTTATTTGTTGATTCTAAAAGGGATATGTCATATTGGCCCCAAAAAGAAAAGGGACATGTCATTGGAAGATATTAAAACACAACAATGCTTTTCACTCAAAGTCAAACCTTCCAATTATATACTTATATTAACATTTATTGGGTGATATTAATCTAATAAAAATTTCTGAATATCCTATGTGTAAACTTCTAAGGTAAAACGGGACCTTAAGTCCTTAACCCTTAGTTTTTTAACATTTGTTTTAATAATAATAGTAATAATGATTGTAATTAATCGTGTCTTATTAAAAAATATCATCTTGTAAAAATTAAAATCATTACAGTATTACCTCATGAGTTAGATGCGATCAGGATCCTTCATAATAATAATTATAAAAAAAAGAATTATATAGAGAAAGTCTTTTCAAGGTCTGCTTCGTTTGGAATTAAAAGCGCAGAACAAAAGCACATGTTGAAGGCTCAAAACTCAAAAGTCAACTCAAAATAAATTAGTTGAAAGTAAAAATTTCTGAGTCCCAAAAATTAAATATCCGTATAAATCCCATCAGAACATGATAGTTGATAATAAGTATTATTAACGGAGAAAAAGATTAAGAACTTTTTTGCCAGAAAGATATATTCATTCCATCAAAGTAAGACGCTGAAATTAATTAGGATGTGTTTGGATTAGCGATGGAAGAAGTCATTTTTTTCCAATCTGACTTTTGTAAAAGTCAGATTAGACAAAAGTCAAGTAGTATGATGGGACTTATGTTTGAATTAACTTTTGCAAAAAAAAAAAAAAAATCAGTTTGAAAAACTGAAATTTATTTGAATGATTAATGAAAAAGTAAGTTTAGATGTAAAATGATTAAAAAGAACATGAATTTTATTAAGTAATACATATATAGTATTATATGTATATAATGTGACAATTGCAAAAGAAATACTGAAAATAAAATTATTAAAAATAAAAAAGTTAATTTATTAGGAAGAAATTGAAAAATACTAAAATATTCCTTCCCAATCAAAATATAAAATAAACTTTGTTGGAGGGGCTTTTTTTTATTTATAAGATAACATTCACTTTTACCTAAGCATTTAATGAGTTTTGTTCAATTTTGCCCCACAGATATTCTCTTTCTTTTTTTATTTATTTATCGCATCTTTTACTTGTTCTCTTTATTAATAAGGATATATGAGGGGGAAAATACATGTCTTATACATTTATTATTTTAAATTAATTTTAACTAATTTCTTAATAAACGTAAATGAATAAAGTTTATCTTATTTTTTAAACTGGAGGGAGTACTTGATGAAATATATTTAATGGATAAATATATATAAATTAAAATATGTACATAGAGTATTAATCAAATTGAATGGTGATGCAGCACCTCTGTCTTTGTTTTTTTCCAGCCACGAATACAGACAAATACGCAAGCAAAAAGACAGTAAATAGATAGAGAAAAAAATTAAAATGTAATTAATGCTGCCAACGGTTTCTCTCACTGCACTGTCCCATGAAAGCAAAAAAATGGAGCTTCACTTTAAAAGCTCATTTGGTCTCAAAAGTCAAATTTTAAAAACATGAATCCAAACAGTATTTTAACCCAAAAAGTTACATTTGCTTGTGGAGAAGCTCGTTTGGGCCTCAAACTGTGATCCCAAACACGGTCTTAGAGGGTGGGGCAGCTACCCAACATCTAACTGGTCATATACTCATGTCAAGATGCATGTCTAGAATATCTTATGAAAATTAAGCCAGTCATCTTAACTCCTTTGACCCCATGGTTGGCACAAGATGATGAAAAATTTTAATGAGCCGGATCTAAAAAAATAGGAGAAGTGGGGTTATAAAATTTTAATAAAGAGACTGTGATATAAAAGCATAAGAAAAATTAACTAAAAGCTTTTAACTACTTTTTAATTTTTAAATTGAGCTTATTAAAATGTTTTCTTTCCTCCCTTCTCTTCATTATCCCCATACCAAATGGACTCTAAATGTACGTTATTTTTTCAATACATATATTTGTAAAGGTATAAAAATACTCCCACATCTTTCTCAAAAAGTGTTGCTGGCATCATAATCAAACCTCATGTGCAACAATGCCAACATCATATTAACCCTCCATGCTATATTCTCTCTCTTCTTTATAATTACATCACCTCTAATTATTTTTAATCCTTTTCTTTTAAATTCTCTTCACCTCCTTCAGATCTTCACCTCCTCCAATGAGTTCTCCATCATCTTCATCAAACCTGCCTCCATTACCAGCACCACCCTCTTCATCACATTCATCGATCGTTGGGAATGCTTGCACATCAGCAGCCATCATCGTCGCCTTCAACTATTCAGTCAGTAAAAATTTAATATATTTTTAGAGTTTTTCCTCTTAATTTTTATTTTTTATTTTTTTCCCAATCCAAACTAAAAGGATAGAGGCTTACTAAAATTCTCTTCCTCTTTCTCTCCAATCATCCAGACCTAGGCTATTGTACACACACAATGGAGACCCAAACTCACGCACAATATAATAGACACAATCATAATCACCAAGTACAACTTAATCAAAAGTCTCAAGTTTGAAATTCGGGAAAATAGCATTGTAAGGTGGTAGGGACGCTCCCTGAAAAAATGGTCCTTTCAAGTCTCGAATCTGGATTAGTCTAGTCATGTCGGATTCCTCATGGCAAGGGGCTAACCTAGAATAACGGGCGCATATGCGCGCACACAGAGAGAGAGAGAGAGAGAGAATCTCATTCATCACCGTGCACGTACGTATAAACGAATCAAGGAACCAAGTCCATGAGCTTCTTCCCAGCAGGTCTGCTAGAAATAAATTCCCACCATGCATTCACGTTCTTCCTCTAAATGTATCATGCATATCGGCCTCCTCTATCAGATGGCTGAGATCCGCCAGGGTGATGGTGTCGCCGCCGCTTCTTGTACCCGTCCATCACCTTCTATGAGATGGTCTGGCTGATAATTCCGGCCATATCTCTTCATTCCATTAATTAATTATCAAACCAAATGTTTTTTCTTGCCAATGCAGAATCAAAGAGAAACCATACTAGGTCCCCTTGCACGTGGTGACATCACAACGTGCAACTTATAAAAGTAGTCACTGTTTGTCTAATGAAAATAATAATCGTCACTGCCCTTTTTAATCTCTGAAGTCACCGTTTTCGTTGCTATCTACACAGCGTCACCACTATATCCTCCTTTCTCTATCCTCTTTATTCTCCAAATCCGTTGACCTCTCTTTTCTTCTTCCTCTCCTTCTCTATCAACTAAACATGCTCCAACATTTTAATCACCTTCCCTTATTTATCTTCATATTCTGGTTATGCTGCACTCTTCACGGCGTCGTTTCAGACCCACAAACTCAGCTTCTTAGTGCCCGGTGCAACCCACCTGACTTCTTCCTCGTTTCCGACTCCTCATCCTCACCGGAAACCTAAACGAAACATTTCGGGATATCAGAGGCCAAATCAGGGACCAGAAGAAGCACTTCGCCACAGCGCAGCATGGCAATGGGGAAAATTTCCCGGTTTATACACTTTTTCAATGCAGAAACTATCTTTCCATCGCTGACTGTGTCGCCTGCTTTGAGATCTCTGCCGCACAGATCCGCAAATGCGCTGCCGCCGCGTCACCCTCTCCAGGTGCCTATGTCGTCTACGACGGCTGCTTCATTAGGTGCAACCCGTTTACCACCTTTCAACTTAAAACTTTTTTTTTTTTTTGGTTCTTTAATTTTCCCAGGAAAGTTTACGTCTTTTGGATTGAATAGGGGAGCGAAAGTCGAAATAACATATTTACTTTAACTTTATTATATTAGGTTGAGTTGTTTGCGGAGTCTGGCAATACATCGCAAACAAGTTTCTCTTCTTAACGTTTGGATCGATTGTGGAACGATTAAAAGTCCAACTGACATATAAATGAAACTTATAAAACAAGTAAATTCTTTATCTGGAATCTATTTGTCTCTATCGATAATTCGAAGATGAGAGATAGAGGGGAGAAAAAAACCGTAGGTAATCCTTGGTTTGACATCAATTTGGCTAGCTTTGATTTTCACAATATGTTTTTGAATTAAGGATAAACCCAATGGAAATCAGTTTCACTGCTTATTGTGAAAACCCTTTCCGGTTCGACAGGTAAGACCAGTAAACGAATAAACCAACTTTTTATCATATCAAATTAAGAGTTTTGGACCGATTAACCTGGTTGGATTTTATTTTTTTCTCTTATTATTGAGCTTAAAATGATGTTATTTTGAGTTTAAAAAAATAACAATTCATTATATTCAACTTTATTAATCTTTTTTTGTTGAAATATGTGTAATGTATATATGAATATTCTATTTTCTTGTGAATTATTTCTTTTTATTTAAATATGAATATTCTATTTTTTTAATATTTTAATTAAATCATATCATTCTAAATAACTAGTCCGATGACCTCAGTTTAAGCTACTGATCCTTGAACTATTGTCTGAATTGGTTCATTATTGACCGCTCCAGTGTTCAGTATAATTATGCTATAATGAGTTACCAAAAATAAAATTCACATTTTTCTACATTAATTGTTTAAAATATATCAAAATCTCCAAGAAAAACTTTTGAAATCAGATAAATCCCAGACGTTAACAAAAAGATATCAAGAAAGTCAAGTGAGAAAAGTCAACTCTGACTAGTATATATAAATAGATTAACTTGCTGTAAATAGGCTTGAGTGGATCTTACTCATCCTCTCGTTAGCTTCATTTGTACACGATGGAATTTTGAACGTGAAAAATAATGACGTGGGATCTGATATGGTGCGTTAAGGTACAACTATAACACTTTCTTTAACGAGGCAACGCAAACTTTCAATGGCGTATCATGTGGGAATGAGACTACAGGAGGAGCTTCTGCATTTTCTGAAGCAAGGCAACAAGTACTAACCAATCTCCAAATATCAACACCAACAATCCCAAGTTTCTTTGCGGCCACGAAGATTCAAGTTTCAAATAGCGGTTCAACTATCTATGCCTTTGCCCAGTGTGTTAATACTATCACAGCGAATGGGTGTCTAAATTGCTTGAAGGCTGGGTACAGTAATTTGCAGATTTGTCTTCCATTTACCGATGGTAGGGCTTTTGATGCAGGCTGTTTCTTGAGATATTCCAGTGCGTTCCTTTTTCCTAATGACCAAACAATTGGTATCACACACTTTGTCAAACAAGGTACACTTCATTCTAATACTTGAATATAGCCCCGCTTTTTTTTTTTTTGGGAAAAATAACTGAAAAATACTTGTCGAACTTCAAAAAGACAAATAGATCATACTAGCTACTCTTGTAATGGCTTTGACAAGGCATCAAGATTATCTATTTGTCATTTTGAAATTCAATAGGTTTTTTTATGTCATTCTCCCTTTTTTCCCCTTTGATGCATTTTCCTAGATTTTTTATGCATTTTCCTAGATGATGCCATAGATAACTGCAGCGTCACATTTTAGCCTCCTTGTCTGTAATTTAAATCACATTTATCCATGTCTTCTATAATACTTCCTTCATCCTTAATATAAGGACCTAGTTGACTAATTTAAAAAAATTAAAAGAACTAAACTTATTTTTAAAGTATTTATATTTATCTTTTTTCTCCAAACTAATTTGCCTAACTCACAAACTGATATATTACAGCCAATCCTTAATATAAGAGCTAGTTGACTAATTTGAATAAATTAAGAAAGTTTATTAATTTAGTTATTTGAAATAAATAGGTGTTACCTTTCCTAAAATACCATTACGAATAATAATTATGAGCTAGAACTACCATTTGATGGAACCTTTAACATTTACAACTACTACTATAACTACTTTAAAAAATTAGATAAATATGAGAGAAGTGGATTAAGATCTTGTATTTAGGATCAAATTGAAAGTCAAACTCGCTCTTATATTAAGAACCGGAGGCAGTACAATCTGATGATACACATAATGAGTATTTTAGAAATATCATGCTGTAATTAAGTAATTTTTAACCTCTTTAATCTTTTCAAATTAGTCAATTGAATCTTATATTAAGGACCAGAAGTAGTATCTGGGATCATAAATCACATTTAACTATGCATAAAGTTGACTACAATTTTGAAGCTGACCGCGGCTGCGATTCCAGCTGAGTGACTGATTCAAAGATCACTTGTTTGTTTTCCTGTCTTGCAGGTTCTTCAAGCAAGAAAGGGGCAACTGTTGGTGGAGTTGTTGGAGGTGTATCTCTTACTTTGATCCTCCTTGCATTATTTGCCTGGATTAAACGACGGAAAAGAGATAAGAATGTTCCTCAAGGAAACCATTTGAAAAGTATGCAATATATCAGTTCATAATAATTGATTACGATGCTTTGGTTTTCACATATATATGAGAGAATGAATCCTCGACTGGTTTTTGTTATTGAATTGCGTTTCACCTGTAATAGGCGACTTAACTGGATCAAGCAAGTTGAAAGGTCCAGTTACATACAGTTATAACGATTTGGTGCTTGCAACAAAAAATTTTAGTGAAGAAAATAAACTAGGAGAAGGAGGATTTGGGGCTGTATACAAGGTAACTTTGATTAGATTTTCAATATTTTAATCTAGATCATGTTCTAAAGTAAGATGTCTATAAATGAGTTTTATATACTGTTGTGAATGTTATATCTGCAAAAGAACAAAACTAAGACTTCTAATAATATCATGATTTTCTTTTATTATCATGCATAGGGCACTCTGAAGAATGGGAAAGTTGTTGCAGTCAAGAAATTGACTTCATCTCGCTCCAAGAGGGTGGAGGAAGAATTTGAAAGTGAGGTGATGCTTATAAACAATGTTCATCATCGGAATCTTGTTCGACTGCTGGGTTGTTGTAGTAAAGGCTACAACAAAATCCTTGTCTATGAATACATGAAAAATAGCAGCCTCGACAGATTCATATTTGGTATCTTCTTCTATCAACTGGCAAGGACTTTTTAAAGAATTCTACAAGCATTAGCTACATTATGCTTCTCAATAAAGTTATGACATGTGCACATATAATTTTCAACTTAATAATATATCACTGACTTTTCATCCAAAAGTTTAATCATGTGTCATAATTTTATTACAGAGTTTAATAAGCAGATACCAATTCCCTATTGTAACATTTTGGAAATAATTATTATGTTTCAACCTTGTTTGTTCCCTTATCTTTGAAAGTTTGTAAACTTGAAAAACAGGTAAAAAGAAGGGTTCTCTTAGTTGGAAGCAACGATATGACATAATTTTAGGAATAGCAAGAGGTTTGACTTATCTACATGAGGAATTTCATGTGCGTATCATACACAGAGATATCAAGACTAATAACATCCTCTTGGATGATGATCTGCAACCTAAGATTGCTGATTTTGGGTTAGCAAGGTTGCTACCTGAGAACAAATCTCATGTAAGCACAAGACTCGCAGGAACATTGTAAGTCAAGATAACCATATGTGTATATGTTTCTTTGCTCCCATTGAATTTCCCTCAGTATTGATAATATATGTCAGTCAACAGAATGCTCCTGTTACGCCTTTTAGCTTGAATACATGTCGCAATAATTTACATTGCATATGTCTATTTCATATTTTTCTGGATCATATCTGTGTCACTTGAGCTCTTATCTAATTAGTGCACATTGTACACTTTATATAGAGGATATACAGCGCCGGAATATGCAATTTATGGCCAGTTATCTGAGAAAGCTGATATCTATAGTTATGGTGTTGTAGTTCTGGAGATCATTAGTGGTCAAAAGTGTAGAAAATTAAATGTTGATGATGATGAAGGGGCATCCCTTCTTCAAAAGGTGAGTTTACCTTGACTGTTTGAAAAACAGTTTTTTGTGATAATTTATATATGTCGGATCTATTTTAATGACATAGCTTTTTTTATTAATAGCAATAGAATTATATGACTGAAAAAGACACTTTTCAAAATGAAATTTATGTGAAGTTAAACAATTCAAGATGTGATTTTTCCATAACAACAGGAAAAGGCCTAATTTTTTTGTTGTATTTTCTGCACTTTTTGTTTCACTTCACTTTTGTTCACCTTGACATATAGGCTTGGAATTTATATGAGAAAGGAAGGCATTTAGAGTTGATGGACAAGACCTTAGAACCTAATGTATATGATGCAGAAGAAGTGAAGAAAATCATAGAGATTGGTTTGCTTTGCACCCAAGCATCCGTTGATACAAGGCCAATGATGTCTGCAGTAGTTGCTTTGCTTCAAAAGAAGGATTTGTCAGAGAACCTTAGGCCCACTATGCCTATCTTGATAGAAATTAATTAGAGATCTGGGGGATACTTCTTTAGTGTTCTTGCTCTGGATCCTGTATTCCGATGTTCCTGCTTTCACCTCTACAGATATTAATTATCTGAAAGATAATTTGTGCGTAAGTATACATCACTCTTGGAAATTATTATTTGCCAACTGATTATTACAGTGTACAATTTGGTAAATAACATTAATCTCTCTTAAAGTTTGGTTAAATTACATGTAATATTCTTCTGTTTTGAGGGAGGAAGAACTTTTTGGAATGATTATGATATTTTTCTCTTTTCCAACAAAGAATGGAGGGTGCCGTGTCGGATTAAAGTAAAATGAGTTGTCGTATTTTCATTGGTCATCGTTCAGATAATGTGGTACACTTGAGGTATCTATGTAAGTCTGACAAAAAAAAAAGTATAGATGTGTGTGTGTGTATGTATTTCTTATTGACATTTTTATATTAGCTTACATCATCAAATATCATCGAATAACAATTAAATAACTAAACATTTTTGCATATGACTTATGAGACGTGGTGATGATTTTTGCGAAATGTATTCCCATTTTAAATATGAGAATTTTTTTTTTGAAAAAAGCCTATATTCTAATTTATATCCAGTCTTATTTATAAATCATCCGTAGCATTTTAAAAAGTTAGCAAAAAATCTTCAAACTTATTAGGTTTTTCCTAAAAACCCTTAAAAATATGGCGATCCAGTCTTCATCGGTATTTTTAATGGCAATACCATTATACCAAGTGAGATTTGTTGTAATGACAAGGCATATTGCTCAATTTTTTTTTTTTCTTTTTAAAGTAAAAGTGAGACGGCATAAAATAGTTAAATTTAATAGCAATTTAACCTGGCAGGAATGAGGGAGGTGATTCGTAATACAATCAAAATTCAGAGAGATCTTCTATTTTACATACTCGTTCGGATCCACAATCATTGGCACATTAAAACACAAGAATCCTTCTCCCTCAGTCAAATCTTTCCACTGATATTCCTCTGTTTTTTTTTTGGAAAGAGAATGGATTGAACAAAGTTATAGGCTCAAATCTAAATGAATATTTCTTGTCATAACACATCCGTATATTGTCCTTCTGGGTTTAAAATTTTGATTATCTCGTTAATAGTAATTTTCTTTGCCAACCTTTAATAGTAATTTAAATTTTTAAAATGAATGAAAATTTAACTTTCATGCCATTAACAAGAGTGCAAACAAAAGATCTTGGCCGAAGAAGGGGAAAAAAAGAAATAGTGAGCAGCATCATAATTTACATGGGAAACGGTGTGCTTTGAGAAAAGATATTTGGTCTGCTACATTTGAAATTGGAATTCAAAGCGAAGAACAAAAGCACATGTTGAAGGGTCAAAAGTCAGCTCAAAATAAATTAATTGAAATTAAATATTAGATCTGTAAGTCCCGAAATTAAATATCCATAAATCCCATCAGTACCATTTTGATAAGTATTTTTTCCATATAACTATTTAATTAAGTCAGATTAACATATTTGTGTATCGCAAAACCCAATTGAGGGCAGCTCTCTAACAAAACAAAACAAAAAGATGATAAAAATAGAATCTAAAGGCGGTGAAATTAATTAGAGGTGGCTGCTACCCTACATCTTTTTATTTTTTGAAGCAATTTAAAATTCCCTTTTCCTGTAAGAGAGGGGACGGATATCAAAGCAGGGATTCTCGGCTGGTGCTACCCTACATGGCTACATGCCTACATCTAATTGGGGTAGAAGTAAGACGCAAATCTCTTTCGAAAATTAAACCTTAATTTTTTTTCCACATGGTTTGAGCGAGTTTTAAACTTGGTTAGTTACTGCACTTTTGTCTCTTAATAATTGCACAGTTAAGTCCGTTGCTCTTTCAGTTTCAAAACACACACACACACACACACACACACACACACACACACACATAGAGCATGTTTTGAAAAGAACCAAATTTTAGTATATAATTGTATTTGTTGGCCAAAAAAAAAGGTGACATTTTATATATTTCTACTAAACGAAGTTACAAGGTTATTAAATTTTAAAACAAGAGTAATGTTATAAATAAAGAAGAAATTTAGAGAAGAATTATACAGAGGAAGAGAGGATCAACAAGAGTGAGTATTTTTCATTCGATTCAAGAGTGCTCAATATATTATATATGACCTCTATTTATAGACACAGCTTTACACCTTTGATAGAATCTACAAATTACATAATAATATGAGATAATTGTGGGATATAGAGATAATGAGAGATATTAGATATTATAAAAGATATAGGAGATAAAGGGAGATATATGGACATCCATAAAGATATTATTATATTCATAACACTCCCCCTTGGATGTCCAATATATATAAATGTGCCTCGTTAAAAAACTTCAACTAGAAAAACCCTGTGGGACAAAACCTAGTGAAAGAAAAAGAGGACATCATTCATTGATACACTATGCAATGCTGCCTCATTAAAAACCTTGCTAAGAAAACCCAGTGGGACAAAACCATATACAAGGAAAAAAGAGTATAGCGTATATCAACTCTCCCTTTTGGCAATATCAATTGATATCTTCGAGCCTGCAAAGTCTAATATAACGAACAACCCTTCCAAATATTGTAATGATATAAAACGTCAAATATGAATTTCATAATCTTCTGAAAATCATAAGACAAATATTCCTTTTATGGTTTACCCACACATAGATCATACTATGATCTTTTGATATAAAGATCAAACAAGAATATTTTATCTATATAGCCATTAAAATTATTCTTGGGTACCTTCAGATAAAATAATTTATCTCCACGGTATCTTTAAAGTAGCAAAGAATATTTTTAACTTCATTCCAACATCTTCATGTTGATAAAGAACTATATCATGCTAATCAGCAAATGATAGCTCAGATTTTGTATGGCTAGATAGATATATAAATGCTTCAGTGACACTAAGATATGGTACTTCTGGACCAAGTGTTTATTCATTACTTTCTGGCGGTCTAAATCAATCTTTAATCCACATCTAAAGATCTTGCAACTATCGAAACATATAATGGATGTTACTTATCCATATAATGGATGTGACTTATCCATATGTTTTCTTCTGAAAGCTTTGATTTCAAATTTTTTCTTTAAGTAATCGTAACTTTTGAAAACTCATCAGGAATTTCGATGCTATCATCATAAATAGTATTGATAACAAACTCATTTTGAATCTTTTCACAAGTTGGAATATGTTTACATCATTTCTTCAGTCGATATTAACCACATATGCCTCATATAGATACTTAATTGAATAATATTCTTAAGAATATAATTGTATGCCTTTAGAAACTCAAACCCTTTAAGGATTTTCATACATTATGATCCAGGTCTGTTCATGTATTGGATCATTTGAATTTATACAAGGATTTGAATCCTTCTGGGGTTCACATATAATGTTACTCTATAGTGAGTCACTATATTTTCTAGACGCATATGAAATATTTTCATATATTATCAAACTACTAGATTGATAAGATACATAAAAATTTTAACCCACCACAAGATTGCATTTTTCTTTCCTTATACAAATGCCTATTACACTTCAAGTGCTTGGGCTAGAGATACACAAATCCCTTGTTATACTGTTGCGTCTTTTCTTTTTTTATTGGTCAACCATTTTTTTGTCTGTATCTCATGACAGATTTATATATAAGATCCTCATTTGATCACGTGATATCATCAATAAAATTATTGTCGACGATTTTATTCCTTTATCAGTCCCTTTTTTCTTTTATGACATAACATATGGAGATCTTTTTATCGCTTTCAAATACTTAAACCTCTTTAGGGGTCAAATAGTTATGCCTTAACCTCTTTTGTAGTTCATGCCTCCTTAATATGATCATGATCATTTACTTCTTTTTCTTTTCTTTTAGAACTGATCATACTCTCATGTTTTTAACATGTATTCAAGAATAAGAGCACTTTTAGCTGGAATATAAGAATTAAGAATTCTTATTTGGATCAGTAATTGCATCTGGCAGATATTAATAATATTTTATGAATGCAATACTTTATGAACTTCTAGTTCATAGTATTATATTTGAGGATCTACATTTGATAGTGAAAATGTATTCTTGTGTTTTCTTTTCCAGCTACACATTTTCCCCCCCTCATATTGGGAACATTGAATGTAGGTCTCTCTAATCCATAAATCTCTTTTAGAAACATTATTTTGTTTCATTTAGAGACAAACAAGAATAAAGAGATTCTTACCAACAGTGATCTCAACTTACTTTTAATATCTATCTATGTGCATTGCGGTAGAATAATAGATATTGCACATTCTAAGATGAAAAATGCCTGGCTCCTGACCAAAAGCCAATTATAATGGGAGAATTCACAATACATTATTGACTTGATGCATTTATGTACAAAAATATATAAAATCAATCATCTCAACACTCAAATGAGAATTATGTTCTCACAAACTCTAATCTAGCTATTTATGGAGGCTTTTACTAAGCATATAATCATCAGCGATGTGAGGAACAATCACTAGCAATCTCAACGAGAATCATGTTGATTTCATAATCAAAAACTTATGTACTCAATGTAATTATCTGAACATATTTGCAAACTTCAGGTTGCAAATTGATCATAAACACCTGTGACCATTTTATAGATGCATCTTTCACTTATAGAGTATTACTTTGGTCCACATGGTGTCGAAATAGGCCCGTATATAAAGTTGAGACATTATAAATTTGCACAGATCTGATTTTGAGCATAGCTAGTGATGTTCTCTTATTTAGTTCTTTTGAGAGCAAACAACACATAAAATTTTTTGAATCATATATCATTTTTAAAGAATCTTCTTATTCTTTAATAAATGATCATGCATATTTTTCATGATATTTTGCATCATTATGATTCGGGGTGATCTGACCAGTCATGGCAAACTATAAATGCATAAACTTTTGGTTTATTATAAAATTATTCTCAATTATTGGTAAACTTCTTGTTACCATGTCATATTATTCATTTTCCATCTTAATATTTCATAAGGAATATGCTATCAATTATTGATTTTATTTTCAGGATAATAAATCATGATATAGCTCTTCTAGAGCATTATTTTTTA